AACTAGCATTTGTGCTCATGAAGGCTTACAGGAGAGCATATCTCATTGCTCGCACTAAAAAATGTAACCCAAATGATTGTACTTATTTCTGTTGTTATTATAACAGTGAAAATAAATTTAGGTCTTCACAGCAATTAATTACCCCATCTCCTTTTTTTTAAAAAATGAGAATATATGATAATTCCAAGTGTGGTGAATATAATTACTGAACGTAAAAGCATAGTGATTGGCAGTCTTTTTATGTGGATTTTCTGAAGAGGCTCGCTGTCCTGACATAGAACAACGACTCGCCATCTCTGTGTCCCAGGCACTGCAGAGAGCCGAGCCCCGATTACTGTGCGTCTGGTGACTGGAGCCCAGGGAGCCCAAGTAGTATGTGCTTCTCTCCTGATGCTTCTCCCCCGCAGTGGAGGAAGCAGGCTGCCTGCCCTTCTGTAGGCTCGGCCTCTGACGGATTGTCTCCTCCATCTTCTCCTCCCACCTCATACTCGGAAGTTTTTGAAGATGTGGATTATCCAGAAGCATATTCTCCAATTTGCTGTGACCCTGGTGATGTTGATGATAATGGGGAAAATGAGCATGAGCCGCGTCCCCGGGAAGAAGAAGAAGATGATGATGATGATGATGATGATGAATTAGCAGCCTGCTTTGTATCGGGGGACACAAGTGAGGATAGAAACAGTGAGCATGTTAGTATCCATAATATTCTTTTTAACTTTTTGCATTTTTAAGTAGCATGTTTTAGTCACTTGGTGTTCGTGCATCGTGGGCAGCAGTGGCAGAACAAAATGAAACAAAAATTTTATAGGTAATGAACATGGATAATTTAAAGTTTAACATATCGTACTGACAGTCAGTTATTTCCTTAAAAACATCAAATGTCATGTGATTGTAACCGTTGTCTGTACTTTGAAAGGCAAGGCTCATTCACACGGTACATATGTTATTTCCGAGCACATCGGTTCTTGTATGAATGAGCAATGGGTGAGGAGGCGTTGATAATGACCCTAGCCAGCAACCATCTTGTGCATAAAGTCGCTTCTTACTGTAGCAATGCAAATAAAATGAAATTACATAGCCAGAAACATGAAGTCTTGAGGTTTGTCGTAAGTAATGACAATTTGGCTCAGATATTTATAGCCATAATATCGTTCCTATTACAGAATGACTTATATCAGAACTGCAGAAGTCATGTTATCTTTTTTTAACATTTCCAGTCAAGGAGGTTATCATGGGGCAGACGTGGCTCGGTTAGGTAGACAAAAACGTGTTTGCCTTTTTGGTGTTTAAACTGCTTTAAACTTGGCTGCTGGTAATACTGAGAACATGATGGCTCATTGGGAGTCCTGAACGTTCAGGTTGTGTTATCCTGGTCAGACATGATTTTTTTTTGTGCTCATAGAAGTCTTTTTAACATGACATAATTATTGTGAAAATAACAGGTTGCACTGAGCCCAGATTCAAAACGGTCAGTTGAGGACAGCAAACATCTCTGTGATGGCGAATTGGATGCAGCGTTGATTTTGCTCTCCAGAGTCTCACACATGGATAGCCCTGTGGAGGAGTTGGCAGCTCATTCCACATTTGCCACCTTGATAGCTTACGTTACTCTAATCAGGGATCCGCATCCGAGAGCATCAAGAATATTATTTCGTATAATCAGGTAACGTGCATTTACAGCTTCTGTGTCAGATCGGTGAAGATGGAGTATGTCGTCGTGTCTGTGCTTCGTTGCGCTTACGATGTCGGCGCCGGCAGAGTTTGTTCTGCATCGTAAGGGCCGTTTGAGATTATAGAACTTGTGCGTGGACTTGACTCATGTTTTACTCTGTTGAGACGTTGGAGTTACTATTTGTACAGCATTTCACAGAAACATATACTGGAAGGCAGTGAGGAGTTTCTACAGAAAAATAAGCTGCCCTTTGTTACCAAATAGTACGGGGCCTATTCATTGTTCTAGAGAAAATTTTTAACTTTCGTGACTTGTGTCAAATAGGCGGTGGTATTCTCCATGGCAGACCATTTGTCACAAAAATTTTGAAGATGTTTACATGAATTATGCTGCCAGACCGTCATTTTTCCAGGTGCTTGAGTAAATGAATATGATATTTTGATTTCTTGTTACTTGTTTGTACTTCATACTCCTTTATTATAGATGTATGGCTATGTTCTTATTTCTTATATTACCTTGTTCCATTACATTTGAATCATATTACTCAAACAGTATGATTTCATGTTTGTTTTACACACTGAGAATTCTTATTTCATTGAAATGATTGTACGTATTTCCCAATAGAACTACATTTCAGTGTGCTCATTTGATGTTCCGTTAAATTTAATGTTATGATAATTAATTACCATTCACTTTCAAAGAAGGTTGGTTGGAGAACTGAAGTATGACTAAAATTTTAAATATTTGTAACCAAGCGTTAGTTACTCTCACAACTCACGCTGTGTAGTAAAGCAACCTGGCCTCATCTACCTTGTCTTCTCTAGGGACATTTTTGTATTTCTTGCTGCAGGAACCACCACTACTTCATGTCGCTTCTTCTGCATCGGTTTGTACCAACTGTACAGTCTCATCTCTGCCAACCACAGCACTCTGCATGCTGGCTTTGCAGCGAGTTCAAGTCGATTGGACTGTCATTATTGTCTCAGATCACAATGTTGGCCCACTCTGGATTTGGTGAAGGTGAATTGGCCCATCATCTTCTGAAAGGGGAGGTGTTGGTTCAGAGGTTACTGGCAGTGTCTGTTCCACATATTGTAAGGTTGGTGCTATTGGATTTTATGCTACGTTTTATAATAAACAAAAATAATGTGGATTACAGACTCGCCTGTAAATCTCTGCATGTATTCTGTCCTACAGATTTGCTGTTACTTCCTTACTTTCTGTTATTGTTGGAACCAGAGGCTCACTTCAGTATCTTGAAACTTTTCAGGACTCAGCGGATCCTGTGGAAGCTTTTGGTGGAGTGTGATGCACTGAGAACATTGGTACACATGTTAGATGATGGCGTTACCGGGGATGATGGCCTTAGGAAGCACGTGCCAGTGAGCCTGACACTAGTTGCTGGTGCACTGGATGTTGCAAATCCCTGTCACCACACCAAAGGAATTCATGACCATGATAAGTGCCCAGATAATATGGATGAAACAGGTTCTGGAAGTTTTGTAATACCAAGTGGTACAGAGGTACGTTGGTTAACAGGAGCATTTTGTGATGTAACAAACATTGATTTCATGTCCTGTCTAATTTTATGGCCCCTGGGCAGACCACAACGTAATGCCTCGGTGAGCTTTCCTTGTAGAGAACTCAAAAGTTTTTGTTTACCTCATTGTCACGTAGAAAGTAAATAAATATTCCTCACGTGCATTGCGTTAATGTTGGATGCCCATTGTGATTCACTTTGTGCATAAATGTCATTGCAGTTACGATCTCCTTGTGACGTTGTGTAATTGTCATGGCACTTTTTAGTGATAGTTTAAATAGACATTGTACCGCATCACTCGCTTCATATACTGGTGGTAATTCTGCACAGAAATAGATCGCTACATTGAGTACTGACTAATTTCCAGTGTCTGCTAACCTTTCTGTACAGGGAGAGCATTCAAAGAAGGTCATAGGCTCATTAGTTCCTTCTGGAACTTCTTGTTTCTGATAAGACGACCTCTTGACTTTCAGGCTTCAGATGATGTGGTATTCCTGTTGCTAGATGATGGCACCACTATTCAGGTTAGCAAGATGCAGCTCTGTTTGCGGTCGCCAGTGTTCGAAGCTATGTTCAGAGGCGATTTCAGAGAATCAAATGAGGAGTGTGTGCCACTTCCTGGAATTTCACGTCATTGTCTTCTCGGTCTTCTTCGGATATTGAAGTTGGGAGGCGTTCCTTCGGGCGTCCCCGATATTGATCTAACTACATCATTAGAACTTGTTGCTGTGTTGGATCGGTTCTTGATACCCGGTAGTGAGCGGCTGACTGATATGATTGTGGGTAAATTCATGTCTCACAGGACAGCAGTTGATATCTACATCAGGTGTATGGAAGCTGGAGATGTTTCTCATTTCCACAGCTTACGTTATGACACAGTGAGGTTTGTGCTTACTTCAGATGCAGCACCTAGCAAGACTGAGAAGATATTCGAGGACCTTCTGCAATGCCCGTACAGGAAACAAGTATTAACGGACATTACGGATATTCTCCAAGAAAGGTTAAATCACATTCCCTGTAAACCATCTAGAATTGCATTGCTAAAAAAATCATTGTAAATATCAGTGAAAAATATATGTGGGTGTATTCAGTAAATTTCCAGAACTGCTTTGTAGTTTATCCTGTAAATACCACAATTTATTGTGTATGCATTCTGCCTTTTTACTAGGCATTTTAATTGTTTGTAATAAGAGTCTAACCCAGTTTTTCAGTGTCTCTGTTACTTCTGTGGTGATACATCTGGCTCATATGACACTTGCCATTTAAATGTGTGTGTTTTGCGTAAAAGGATCAGTGTTAATTTTCCAAACTTGTGTTGAGTGATTGTCATGTGCCATGTGGCATGTCATGAGAGTTGGTGTGTTTCTTGTAAGGCTTTGATACGTGCCTCTTCCTGTAGTTCCTATGAAAACACCTTTCCTTACTTTTCTCCAGTTACTGTATGTCCGGATTGTGAACAGAGGATAGCTGAGTGAGAAAAGCGACTGGCCCAGGTAATTGAAAACTTACTCTCTCTGTAAGTGATTAAAAAAATGTGTAATTGTGATGCCCTAAAATGAATTTTGTATATTAATTGCAGTATAAGAAGTATTCTTATGTTGGTTATACTTGATACTGTTTGTTGTTTTTTGGTAAAATCTGGTACCGAAACTTTTGCCAAAAGTATTTAGGTTATGTTGACTTCTGTTTGACACTGAGCGTCAAAGGATAATAATGTTCTGTGGATGGAAAATGCTGAATGCGCTTTATGTTGCTTCTTGTGCAGCTTCGGATTCTTTTTATTCTAGTCTGACAGTTGGTGTCTTTTCCATTGGTGAAAATAATATGTTGCAGGAAAATGTACTGAGCCTCAACATTTTTCTGATTTGTATAATGCCCACTTACTCATTGTTACAGAGTTAAGTCTAATGATTTCAATGATTTAAGTCATAAATATGTATGCTCTCATATTCTTTGGATCACACTGCAGATTTTTGTTTGTTCCAATATTGAAAATGGGTCGTTGAAGAATGGAAAAGTTTTTTGTGAATTTGTGTGGTCAGTACTGCGAGAGGAAACCCAGTGCTTTGTCGGCAGGTGCCCTTGGAGAATGGCGGTTGCATTATAGGACACAGTTTGTATAGCGTGCATTGTGCACATTTCATCTATAGAATATTTATTCGATTTCATTTTTAAGACATTTCTGTTATACTAGGTGTAGTAACAGATGCTTATGTTATTAATTTTAGTATTTTGATAGTTTATTTAACATGTTGCACATTAATATAACTTTCAGACTTTAAGATTGAAATGAAAAATAATGGTGAGAATGAAAAATAATTTATTATTAAAGAAAGGTTTCTGTTCTGAGATATAGAATATGACTGAAAGACATAAAAATTGTATTGTCAAATTATTTACTGGTGAATAAATATGTATTCGGTATGCAATTGTGATTGTGACTTAATGTTTTGATTAATTGTTTTCAGGTTTATGGAATCACAATTCATGAGTCTTCAATCGAACAGGATTCAATATTGGCAAGAAAATTGATGAATTCAAGGTAACTTTGAATTGTATCAAAGCCTTTCTAAAGCTGAGAGACTGCTTAATGTTTTGATAACTAAGATGTGAGAAGCTGAGAGTAGGGTGAAGGATAACGGTATATTAAACGAGATTTCGGGTTCTCACAGTGATGAGTATGAAGGTGGTTGTATAATCTTGTAGGAATTGACTTTCAATATGAACTTACAGCCGCTATCATCAGGGTGAGAATTGCCTCTTTTAAACTAGGGTTAATTTCTACAAGACTAGATCGGCAGCAGTCTTGAAATTATAGTCTACCCAACAAAGTATCAGATTTAGTAGGGAGTAGCTCTAAGAGAAAAAGCTGGCATTGTTCTCTATATAGCACGAACAAGCAAAACATAATACATATGAGAATGTAATAAATTAAAATGAGTAATTGGACCGGGACAGCGCGAACGCAGTCCCGACTACCAAAAATTACGCGCCCGAGTTACCCACATTTGGGGCAATCGCAGGGGTCAACCCAACCGCAGTGCAATGGAAGGGTCTCACCCTGGGGGAACCGCCTTCAGGATCACGGTAACCCCTACGCCAGGTAAGTATGCTTCATTTTCGAAAGTGTTTCTATTTGAAGCTTCACTAGCAAATGTCACCTGCAAGATGTATATAAAACATCATGTATATAAATTATTCTCTTTTAAATTCTGTCCAGGTCATTAATGAATTGCATTTAAAACATTTATTTCCATCAAACTCCATAAATATATAAAAGTTTTGTATTCTAATAGTTTACAACATTATGTAATTGTATTAACTGGTTCAATTTTAGTATGGAGTCGGTGTCAACCATACTGCTTGTGCAATATTTCGACCATTCTGTACTGACACAATACGATATTAGCAAGAGAGAATATTAGAATTTAGCGTCAGTTTAAGCTAGAGCCATCTGCTATTAATTACAAAACGTTCGTCTTTTACACAGTTTTTGCTGTAATTGTCATGAAGTCTGCGAAGTCCAATTATAAAGTTTGTCCGGAAAATTGTAATTTCCCTCCAACCATTAACATAAAACTACAAAGTAAGATGTAGCCTGGTTTAGAAATATATTTAAGTTTATAATAATTTTTAGTGGAAGTGAGTCTTAAGTTCAAACATTACAAGAAAGTTGTGTTAGGTCTTATTTCTGAGACTCATTTTGCAGCGGAGAGGGAAAATCTTCTTGAAATACATTTTGAAAAGTTGTGTTGGCGGAATGTGTCCGTATTTTATCATCTATGATCATGTGGATTGAGTGTGCTTGTGGTTAAATGAAGGTGTGTTGACATAAGATATAATATTTCAGGTCACGTGGGTGTAAGTGTGATTGCAGCGTGGATTTGCTTGTAGCTGTAATAAATTGCGTTATTGAAAGGTTTGTTTTGCTTTTGTATCATAATTACATCACTACGTTTTGTCGATGTGGTATTTATGTGTCCGTCACGAATTCATACGTTACTCTTTATCGACACATTGCTGCTATGTATTCTAACCTACATTCTGCAGTTCTAACATTTTATCACTAACCTTTAACGCAGTAGAGACCGTTTGAATGAAGTAAAGGTACTTTATTGCCGCTTGTCATATTGTTCATGACTCTTATTTTTGAACTTTATAACTTCAATATGTGTAAGATGTTATAATGCTTGTCATTTAGGTTATTGCACAATGGAAGATGAAAAAGAGACAGTCAGGGTGCTGTCAAGATTCAAGTCAGAAACCGGAGAAGAAATGAGTAGTGTATTGGATCTGCCTTTGGATGTGACTGTTGACAAACTTCAGCTAATCTGCAACGCATTGTTAAAACAGGTTAGTTTAAAAGGTTTTGTGTTTGGAAGTTCCATAAATTATGCTGTACCAGGTCACTGGACTTGAAATCTAAGGGGATGTTGATGGTTGTTACTAAATTGAATAGAACTTGCAGTGTTTTTGTGATGACCTTGAAAATGCAATTTTCAGGAGGAGAATCTTCCTTATATCTTTTTTGTAAATGAGAAGGAGATTAAAGGAACTTTGGAAGCCGCATTGGACAAAGACAAGATAAACACTGAGCATGTAGTGGATATTGTGTACCAGCAGCAAGCTGTATTTCGAGTGCGTGCTGTCACACGGTGTACGAGGTAAAGTAACAAGAATTAAGTTTTCAAAATTCTATAACAGAATTTTACAGTGAATCCATTCAAGACTGGTCATTTTCATTAAAATCTGTCATGGAATTAATGCATTTCCTTATGTCTGCTTTAGCTATAGTGAAAACTGTATCATTATCGTTAAAGCCTTCTCAATAAGGATGCAAAAGTTCCATATATTTTACTTACTACATGCAGTGGTTTATAGAGGACAAGTGGCTGTGGATACACAGCAGTCTAATATAATAGTCTAACCTTTCGCATAGATATGCATTATTTTTCATGCAAACACAGTTTTTGCAGGTAAGAATGTGGTGTACACTTTTATCAATTTACAATCTAGGAAATGAAGTCAAGCCCTAGTGATGTTTGATGTGAGTAGTTTACATACTCAGTCGACTTCAGAGTAGTCTTTTGCTTCTACTTATAAAAAAAGAAAGCTCCAGAAATATTTAATTGATTTCATATAAGGTTAGGTGTCTCAAAAAACTGATTCTTGAGTAATTTTATCAAAACAATCAGTTGGTTAATTAGTGTACTCTCTGACAGGTAAAATTTATGTAATTACTCAAACAGCACTGTGTTAATTTCAGTTCTTTGCCGGGTCATGCAGAAGCTGTGATATCAGCGAGCTTCAGTCCTGATGGCCGCCATCTAGCAAGTGGTTCTGGTGACACCACAGTGCGGTTCTGGGACATATTCACTCAGACACCGGTTTATACGTGCCATGGTAAGAGGAAGACATCAGCAGGTGTAGTTTTAATAAAGAAACACTTGGCCTTCACTAACACAAAATATTTGTAATCAGGTGTTTAGAAATGAATTAGATAATAAATATAAAAAAGTGTCATGAGATGATACACTGTAATTGTGATGTAGATGCCATTACAGCCCTGATTTCAGCAAAATTCAAATGTGTTGAGAAATTTTAGTACTGGAACTCCAACATCCTATTTCATGAAAATCCCTTAAACATTTATTGAGTTGTTACATGCAGCATGGTTTTGGAAAAGCAAATCAGGAAATAAATTAGAATTTGTGCTGTAAATTTTGCAGTTTGCAAATTAAGTGGAGTGGTGTAGCCAGTGAGTAGCCGGGGAGTGCAATTATTTTTTATTTCTTTCAGGTCACAAGCACTGGGTTCTGTGCCTTGCATGGTCACCAGATAGCAGGCATGTGGCTTCAGGCTGTAAGAGTGGCCACATTATTTTGTGGGACCCAGACAGTGGGCAGCAAGTTGGACGGACCATGTCAGGGCACAAGAAGTGGATCACAGCTCTCAGCTGGGAGCCATACCACAAGTGAGTATAATTAAGGAAGGTTGCTCTGCACAAGCAGAGCGAAGCATATAGCGTCACTCATTGGTTTCTTGTTCATTAACCCTGAAGCAGTTTGGTGTCAATGCAGGAACATAATTAACATTTCTTCAGGTGGTGCTTCCTAACAGCAACAACATATTTGTGAGTAATGGGACAGACTATGATTTATGAACGAAAAAACTGTTTGTGGTGTCTGAGCAGATGTTTTTACTGTGTTTCTAGCAACCCAGAATGTCGCCGAATGGCAAGTGGCTCTAAAGACGGTGACATCAGAATATGGGACGTAGTTCTTGGGCAGACTGTGTTGACACTGACAGGTCATTCTACAACTGTGACCTGTGTCAAGTGGGGTGGAGCTGGTCTTCTGTACACGGGTTCACAGGACTGCACTGTGAAAGTGTGGAGAGCAGAAGATGTAAGGTTTGCATTTTGTTAGCGTGATAATGAGCCAGAAGATAAATGCAGGCTGTATTTGAATAATATTTCTGGCTGAATGTGGATGTTTCTGTTTGTAAATGTATTTAGTGCATCCGTAGTTTGGGCATTATATTGAAAATTAATTGGGTTCTAGGGTGTGCTATGTCGAAGTCTGGAAGGACATGGCCACTGGGTCAATACTCTGGCCCTGAGCACAGACTATGTCCTGCGAACAGGACCATCTGATCCTGTTGCAGGACTACATGTTGATCACAGTAAGAGTGAGTACATAATTTTTTTATGTAAATTGTGTACTTATTTCAGAATTTAAGCGTCAGTACAGTATTATGTATGGTGTAGTGGTTAGGATTAATGATGCCCCTAGTATGGATGGCGGTTAGAAACAGGCTTTTTTTGCCAATGGTTTTGCCGCCTCTATCTTCCGGTTAGTGTTGGTGACCACGTGCAATTCAAGATGTGACGCAGAAGATCACATTCTGAATTTTGACCACCGTAGAAGCTTCAAATATCAACCCCTCAGTCTTTGTTCTTTCCGCAGAGAGACCGAGTTTCACGTCCTTACAAATTGGCAGGTAAAATTATAGTTTTGTCTGCGGAATAATATATGCCCAGAAATTTTAAAATGACAAATGTATTAGTTTACTTTTGGGACAGGGGTGAACAAACAGAATTAGTTCAGTGTAAGTTGTTGCCTTCTTCTTCTTCTTCTTTTTTATTTATTTTTTGCTTTAATGCGACAGAGAAGGAGCTGCAGCTGCAGGCGTTGAAGCGGTATGACATGGTTTGTGCTAGAGGAGAGGAGCGGCTCGTGTCTGGCTCTGATGACTTCACTCTGTTCCTCTGGCAACCGGAAAAAGACAGGAAGCCTGTAGGTAAGAATGCAGCTGTTCTGTCTGACTGGACTCATGGATATTCAGTGACTTCTGGGTGCAAGTCGTGAATCTCATTTTCCTCGTTTAGTCTTTCAGGTCTATGAATCTTGTGTTTCTGGTATTATGTGTGTATATAGGTAATGTAAGTAACATTTCACTGTTGAAACACTTCATTGCAGACCGCAAAACAACCGTATCCTCCGTCCGAAATTCATATCCACGCCACTAAGTGGCCTGTAATATGCTCCACTCCTTGCATCAATCTCCCTGTCTGTCTCTCAGGTCTAGATATTTTCTTAAGCACCTCATTTTCATGCGCTTATAATTGGTATACTTCCCTCAGGATAAGAGGCCACATTTCACACCCATACAAAAGCAAATGAACTGATAAAATTTGATTTTGAATATGTTTCTTGGGATGGGTTCCTGGGTGTTTTGAAATATTTTGACATGATTTCCTTGTAGTTACAAACGCGATTTTGTTGCAGATGTGGATTTCCATTTTCTATCAATAAAAAATTTATCTTTTATTCTTTGCAGCACGAATGACAGGACACCAACAACTGGTTAATGATGTAAAGTTCTCGGTTGACACTCGGTTGGTTGCTTCAGCCTCCTTTGACAAGTCTATAAAATTATGGGATGGCCGCACAGGAAAGTGAGTATAGCATTATGTATAAAGTCATTGCCACTGAGAATCTTAGGATGAACAAAACTGATTTCTTTGTTCTGACAAGTTTTTGTTCTATGCCGCACTGGTATTTAAGTTTAGTATTGTGAATACGTGTAGTTTTTAATTTCTAATAAAATTTAAGTTGTGTTGATTCAGGTTTGCTTTTAAAGTGTAAAAAGTAAAGTAAGATTTTTTTGTGGATTGTGAACTTGCAGGGTATGACATCATGTCTTTTAGGTGGTCAGCAACATTCCAGAGTAACATTGTCTCTGTTACATGACACTCCAACTTGTCTGTATATGAGGACTTTGATTGGCTGCATTGTACTTTGTATATTTGTGCTCTTCAGCAGCGTTCAGGTTCACGCTATACTTCCAGGTTTATCACATCTCTGAGGGGTCACGTGCAAGCGGTGTATCAGATCGCTTGGTCCCCTGACTCCAGGCTTCTGGTGAGTGGAAGTGCTGACTCTACAGTGAAAGGTATTGTATTTATCTCATAAAAGACACCCACCACTTTATTATGTAGATAGATTCTTTACTGTTAATGCAGGATATGAAGTACACATAGGAGATATGATAAATGGGTACGACTTTTCAGTGGGGATACCTGAATGCAGACATAGGTGTAGGTGGTAATGTGAATATTAACAAAGTAAGATCTGAGGACTAGAGGGTATATGAGCCGGGATAGCTAAGTCAGTATAGTGTCTAGCTGCGGGCTGAACGACCGGGGTTCGATCCCCGACGGGCAGAGGATTTTTCCTCTAGCCTCTGCGTCCAGACTGGCTCTGGGGCCCACCCAGCCTCCTCTACAATGTGTACCGAGGTCCTTTCCCGGGGTAAAGCCGGCCGGGGGCGTGATGCTGACCACTCACCCCCGTCTAGTGCCGAGGTCAAGAAAGAGGAGCTATACCTCCACTCACCCCAAGTGCCTGTATGGCACGTAGCGGAACAAACTTTACTAGAGGGTATGGACTGGATGCATGCGATTCAGAATGGGGTCCACTGACCCTTCAGGTTCCGTGAACGATGGTTAAGCGTAGGCCCATTCAGAAATGTTTGGTTGAGATGCTCTGTGTGTTTGTACCACAGTGTGGAACGTGAAGACATGCAAATTGGAAGTCGATCTGCCTGGCCATGCAGATGAGGTGTTCGCTGTTGACTGGTCACCCGATGGGTTGAGAGTTGTCAGTGCAGGCAAGGACAAGCTATTGAAACTGTGAGTAGTCTGTTCTTTAGTTTTGAATATGAAAAATTAACAAGGCATTCACAACAGTTTCAAGGAGAATGAAATGGAAAACAAGTTCTGTGTTTTTAACTGAAAAGAATCTTTTGTTTATGTACACTTTCAAGTATTAACTACAGCAGAGGTGGTATTATTTCACATCACATCAATTTAAATGAAATTTTGAAAGAATTAATATCTTAAGCATGAATGTTGCAGTTATATAGCAGGCGATCCTGATTGCTAACTGTTCAGGAACCAAGTAATTCTAACTAAATATCTGTCTACTTTTTTGTTTAATCCTAATGCAATAAGCACATTTGCTCTAAAGCTATCCATTGAATTAGAATGTTACATTTCATCTGTTAGAAGTCGTTGCTTGCATAGCCTGTCAAAATTCTTTTCTTAATTTTAGTAGAAGTTGAATGCAAGTTTTTGTGTTGTGTTGGGTGAAGTACTGAATACAATTTTTCAAGAGGAAAAGAAACTTCAGATGTCTGTGTAGTAATGTACTTAACTCTGTTTTAATTACACAGTTGAGTGGAAAGTATTGTGATTTTAGAGACAACTTAGTTTTCAATTGATCCTTTCAAAACGTTTGCAGTGATCTTCTGTTATTTTGACAAAGCATTTTCATAAATATGAGATCAGTTTTATTTGTTCTGTCTGTAATCTCCCCACAGCCAATTGCTGTACAATCATGGGTTGTGCTGCTTTGAAATCTTTGATGTGTTATGTATTTTATTTATGTGTTTTTGCTTAATGACAAGTTTTCATGACAGAAGCCACGTTTGTTTCAGGTGGCAACATTAATTGGAAGAAATGTTAGATTCAGGCAGGCCCTGATTCATGTTTCAGTCAGATGTTTGTACCCATAGAAAGTAGTTTTGTGTTTTTTGTAATAAACGCTCAGTGGTTAAACAGTTGATGGAGTCTCCTCTGCCTCTTCATTCCAGCCAGGAATTTCTTTCAGTTTTGCACTGAA